CGCCCTGATATAAGAATTCCACTCTGGTAGCTCGTCGCCTATAAGTTTACCGTCCATGAGGAGCTTGGCCGGGTATACCATTACGATCTTAGCCTGGGGGTTCTGTCTTTTAAGACCTTTCATGCGTGGATACAAGCGGGATCGGGCTTCTTGTATTTCTTTAGGGAAATCATAGTCAATCGAAAACCCGGTATTTTTCAGCAACGTCACATTTTTCATAATGATTTCCACATCGCAGAATTCAGTGAAATTGACAATTATAGGTCTGCGCTGTATATGCTTTCTACGATCCTTCATGCCAAGCCTGTGAGCACGTGCGATTCGAACGTCGTTACTTCTAATGGTCAGCCGATTTTCGATAAAATCTAAAATAAGTGAGGTACAATTTTCACCTTCATTTTCCACAAAACCACGAAAAATCAGATTGTTGCGTCTCGATCGGGCTTCAGCATCGATTGATTTGTAAGCAAGTGTTTTCATGAATTGGGACTGGGTATCAGCAGTGTGAATGACTTCAACTAGTTTTTCATTCAGTGTACCAAGTGTTTGCTGAAAGTTTATCATTTCATGCTTACAATTAGCCTGCTCATCTCGAATAGAACGTAACTCATCAAACATCAAGAGCAGTTTATTGTCTACAGAACTATTTTCGAAGTTTTGTCTAGATATGTTCAATGATTGCATTTTCCTTTGTTCGTCACTTTTGCGCCCTTGCAAAATTTGGAAACGATTACTTACAGATACAGCAAATCTAGTGTCTATATCCATTTGAATCCATTTAAATCCGTAAAACTAACCACTTTTAACAAACAACACCTTTTGCTAATAAAATATTTTCCAAAAAAATCAAAATAGTCCAATAAATTACAGATTCTTATATTTTTTTTCTCCGCTCACAAAAAACGCGTACGCTACGCCGCCATATTTAATTACTATTATATTTATACCATTTATTTTTACAAGAATTATTGTGTTTACGCTTTACGCTAAAGACATTAGATGCACATTCGTGTAAACTTTCAATAAACCTATCTGCAATAATTTTAACATTTTCGTTGCTACAAATCTGTTCAATTTTATCATTTAATATGTTCCTTTTTGATCGAAGCAGGTTTAAAAATGATTCCCTTTTATTTTCATCCCATTTAATAATGGTATCACACTGTTCAGTTTGATTAGAGTTATCATTTACTTTAATATGAAATTAGACAAAGCCTATGCACGGGGAAGTCTCTAAAAATTCCTTTCATTCTTTCCGTTTTAAAGGTGTCATTCGGTATTAAATGCGCCGCTTCCGTTTTCACTCGGAACACTCGACGTTTATTATTTATCCGAAAAGTTGAGATTTGTTCCGTTATGGGAATACCCCGCCTATTATCATTGAGTTACATTGTAAATGGCGGCGCCCGACTAGAACTGACATTGAAAATTTCATTGATAGGTGTAGAATTCTATATATTTTTTAATTGTTTTTATTTGATTTTCTTTTAAATATACACGCGTAGTCTATAGCCGGGCAAGCCAAAGCCCGGACCCGCTTCGCGGGCCCGGTTTTTGACTTCCCCGTATTACAAGGAATATTTAAACTTAATCCGTTATGGTCGGAAAATTCGTTGGGTTCGGCGACTGAAAAGTCAGAAATGGAATTCAAATCATTCATGTGTACAAGTAGATAATCTACGACGCTTGATCCTTTTATTGAACAATATGTACTTTCCCCAATATTGGCGTCCCTATGGAGCCTCCCATTACATATGATATACGATGTTGTTTCTTGAATATTCACGCTCATGTATAAAGACCGTTGTGAAAATTAATGAATAAGCACAAGATAACAACTTTGATAAATTATGTTTTTAGTTGGATGCTTATATTAATGCTATTGATAGTACCAGAATCATTATGCAATTAGGTTGGACGAAAGTGTTCTAATTGTCTAATTACCGAAATGTAGGATCATCCAGGTCTAATACTTTACTTGATTGAGTTGCAGAAGCCATGAATGGCAGGTCTGATTTACTCCTACAGAATGTTGTATCCCCAAATTGTTAAACATAATCAGGAGGTTCTTATTAGATATCGAATAGATCACACTAAATATACACATTTTTATCTCTTAATAGGCGATAATGTTCCTTGTTATAAAGGTTGTTATAAATTATCGTCAAACATTTTCTTCTTGAATGCAATGAATTGAACAGGTTCGTGATAGATATAACCGGGTTAAACTCACTTTTAAAACCTTTTGACTCAATTCCTTCCAAAGCATTGATCGATTTCTTAAATGAATAAACTTGTATCCTAATATAATTTGTATAAGTTTAAGACATTGTAATAATCCCTTCCTTTATTTTTAATATTCTTATTTAAGCAATCATCGTGTTCGGCGAGGTATAGCCAATTATGTGTCAATGTCCCGCTAAACGCAAACACAAAAACAAAATATGGAAAGAAAATCATATAAATTAATAGAACATTATTTTTTTTAATTCAACGTGTCTAGTCATTTGGCTTACTTTCACTATGTTTAGTAATGTCTGTAAATAAATATAAAATGTTGTTGCTGATTAAGATTATTATTACAATAAAGATATATCATTTTATATATCATCGGCGAGTGTAGCTATTAGCAATTTAAAAATAAAAATAACATTAAGCATCGGATCATGTCGAAAGCTGCTCGTCTCCATTTGAGCAGAATTTCTAAGGAATAATAAAAACGTTTTAAGATTGAAGTACAAAGCTGTTTTCTACAATTAATGAGTATTTTTGGCAATATTTATCACACCACTTCTTCTGCGTTATTTACACAGTCACGTGAATTGTAAATACCTTTTGCAGTGTGTCAATAATTTGTTTGATCACTTCACAATGTCTTACTTTAAATGAATTTTCAAAATGTTTATAAAAATTAGCATTAATCTGAAGGCATTGGTACTTGTTGTGGTGCTATACATATATGGCTGTCTTTAAAAAAATAACTTCGTAATTAAAGTTGTGCTTTTCAGAGTTAATCTTATCTATTATGTTTTGAAAGAAACAGTTCGATTAAAAATATGACTTAGGAATAACCAATTCATACGTTTAAACGGCGTTTTACTCGCTTAATAATATTCAACGGATTTAACAAGAGGCACATTTGAGGAGAACATGGCAAGAAAAGGCAATTATTATAGGAATATCATTTAAATTCACGTTGTTTTTAGGACAATATCATGGAAATGGAATTACTATAACAACATTGAGTCAATGCTACCCTACAGGTTAGGAATGTGAAATATGTTTATGACAATATGAAAATTTCTAAATAAAAAGTATAAAATCTTGTATATTTATATATCATCCGCATAATGAATGTCTTTTTACAGCAGGCTCTTAATCAAAGAACATTTTGTTCATACTATTCAAAGCAACGATTGATAAATTGATAAATTACTAAATGCTACTGGTTTTATCATGTCATCTTTTTGAGCACCATTTATACCAAATGCCACAGGTTTATCATGTCATCTATTTGAGCATCTTATATCTCCAGAACAATATTAATTATGATAAAGTGTCATCATTTAGGCTGACCAGCATCGGTAATATAGATTATGTATAAAGTAATAGGCATGTTTTTTATTTCATCAACTGCATTTTTTAAAATTAAATCGTACTTTTTTGCTGCATACTGCATTGCATTTGTTATGCCTAGTGTAATATAACATATATGTTACCAAATAAAAAGAAAGGAGATCCCTCAAGAGTAATGATAATAAAAGAAATAATGTTATGACGCAGACAGATTAATATTTAGCTACATATTTTACTCTTTAAACATACAGTAATGAAGAGTTTTCAATATTTACAACAACATATTCGCGCATTAATTTCTATTTGCAGAAAATGCGTTTAAATATAGGGGATAATGTTGCTGTCGTTATATCACGAACAAAAGATGCACTAGCACAATTGCAATATAAAAGGATGCTTCTTGTTCGTTTTTTCGTGTTCTTTTTACGTTTTCTTTTCGAACATTTATACTAATTTGAAGTTAATATTGTTTCGACAAACCGAACTATTAAATTGTTGCTCAAAATGTCTAGTTATATCAATAACAAAATAGCATATAAAAATAATGATAATTAGTGAATGTTAATTTGCTGACTTCACACTATTCCAAACTTATAAAAGGCTATAAATTTGCTATAGAAACGTGTTAAGAATAGTATACTTTTTCTACTGATGATATGTTTTATTAATGGACTAATTGAAATATATTGTTTTGAATAAACGAAGATGCATTGCCAAAGTGTTACTGCTTTAAATGAAAAGTTCTGCTTAACAAAATCTAACACAGATATGCAAACATTTGTCCAGTGTTTGGGGAAATTTTGTCGATGCATATATAACATATCTAGTCTAACAATGTTAATCATATTTTGTTTGTACTTCTTTATTTCATGTTTGAATCTATCCTTACTAATAGCTTTAAGGTTTTATATTTTGTATCATCGGTTACTTTACAATTTATTTTAAACACTTTACGCAATAGAACATGTAGAACATAAATATTATAAAGATGAATTCAGCGTTACTGTGTTACACTTTTTATCTATCATTCGTACTTATATGTTTCAGGCTGATCCCAGAGTGAGTACAATATCTTATTATATATTTCGAACATTTGTTATTTATGTTTTTAAAAGATAAATATTCTTTTTCTTCATTAATACTCTAAATTGTATACGTGGGTTATAAACGTATATGGACGTCATTATTTACTTATTCTGTTAATTATATTTTTGCTAAATCTGATTATTATTGGTTATTAAATTTGATTGAAAGAAACGGATAAGGTTTGTTCTAGTATTGTGTGTCCACGTTGTATTGATTGACTTTGTGTCATTGTTACAAAGTTGTATCGGATACAGTGATGAATTTACAAATCTATTTTCTTTCTACTCGTGCTCGGAAGAAAACAAGCTTTACTTGCTTCTTGTGGCTTTGTTTCAGCCACTTATGTGACTGGAAATTCAAAGAAAAATATCACCAGGCATGTACATTTCCCCTTAGACGATGACATCTGTTTGAGATCTTTTTCAATATATTGCAGATTTTAATCTTATTCGATAAAGGTATAAAAGTGCAACTTTAGCTCATTTGGTATTTCGTCATTGTCTAATTAATCATATATATTTTAATTGTTCAAATGAATGTCGCACATAGCCTACAGCGAGATACAAGTGATTATTATTTGTATGTTATTTGACAATACGCGTCTGTGATGGTGATGCTTATTGGATGGTCAATATGTCAACCAAGTCAAATATTATTACTGTAAAATATTTGTTTTTACTTAATTTGGTTTTATCTTAAATTAAATAAAATAATGAATGTAAAAAACAGTATGTTTATCAGTATGTAAAAAAACCCTTTTCCAGTCCAAAGATATAGGCCTGAATCAGTTGTTTTTTTTGACCACCCTTTTTAGGTTTGCCCACTTTTTAGTACGCACTTGGCATGTCCGCTGCCCATATCTCAGAGCATTTTGTGTTTTTTCGAAGTTCAGTTTTCTGTGAATTTGTCACTTGCAATTTTTGAGAAATAAATATCAATTTTGTTTGCTTTCAGAAATCAAGCTCAGATGCTTATGAAATGCGTATGATTAGATACTCTGAAAGTCCGATATTAATTTCAATTAAGTGTGCTGATGTTCTGTGTGGTACTATTTATGATTTATACAAATATATGTTATATATGTAATTATCTATCTTTCATAATCATCATTGCACTTGATTGACTGCATTTAATACATGTGTATGATTCGTTTGACTTACAACTTCGATATTGAAGTGAACACATCTGGAGTAAATTTTTATTACTTTATATTTAAAAAATTTATTGATAAAGTATGATAACCTTATTGACTAATTCTCATATGTAATACTGATTGATGATAATTAAATTTTAATCACATCAATATATATCAATAGCGATCGCCACATTATTGACGCAGTTGTATTATGATATTTGACAAGTGAGGTGGGTTATAAATCATTAAATCTTTTAAAACACTTATTTGAATAAATTGTTCCTTTTTAAAATACATGTATTTGAGATCTACAATGGTATTATATTTACTACATATAAACTGACTGTCTATTCGTTAGAGAAATAAAATATTTTAATCGGGTAACTAAAACAATTATAAATATAATAAGAATGTATAAATGGGTAACAAGTGATGGTCGCTTTCTCCTCTGACATGGCAAATTAAACGAAATGCCATGACAAAACACACTTTGCCATGACAAATGCAAACTTTCATTGATGTTTTATTAAAAAAAAGTAGTCAAGATAGAAACACAAAACATATTAACTTTTAAACCTTTTAGTAAAAATATCAATTTAAGATAGTTTTCATTTTTAAGCGCGTAAAAACAGGGGTTAAATTTGCCTAAAACCGGCGCGACAAAAATAAACCTGCAGCTATTTGAGTATGCTCTACAATTATAATTTCCCATGTACTTTAGTAGTACTTGAGGGTAAAACCTGGTGACATATCAATTCAGCTGGTATATACTAATAAATATAATAGGCAGGTATAATATTTATCACAGAGTTTAAATAAAGGCTTGTTTTAAAAATCACATACAAAAAGGAAACCGAACAGATATCAAACTGAACTAACTATTCATATTTATATAATAATTGTGTACTTTAATATCATTGTCTTTTTCAGGGTCTCATTTTCACACAACGGGGAAATGGTAAGAAAAATTAATATTCAATTTGGTAATACAAACAACATGTATAAACATATTAATTAATTCTATGTATAAACCATTGATTTTATCTACATAATCTCAAGTGTGTAATTTATTTCATAATTAATGATTTAGATATAATATATGATTATAAAGTATAAATATACAAAAAGTAAAACTGTGTAGCTTAAATTGTAAGTACAAAAGGCTTTTCAACTGGTAAATCAGAGTAATCGTACTACAAGGTATCCATTTATTTGTATGGACACAGTGACAATCGATATATAAATTCTTAGTTGTTCTTGTGTATAGTATTGGTCGTTCTTATTGTAAATAAGTATGTGTTTATGTTAACAATTACATTTAAAAAACATGACAAAGTAAAACACAGCGATGAATAATAGGTTTTATCAAATGATAAACTCATTTTACGATAGTTCAATATTATGCATTGCTTATTTTTGTTTTCTTCGTGATCATACTACTTGAATACATCATATCGTTATCTTCGTTCCTTTGAAAATAAACTTATACTTATTGATGACAGAGAACTGTCCAAAATCAAAGCAAAAGCAATCAACATTCTGACACATAAGACATGTAAATGTATAGGTATGTTTCAAAATGAATATTAAGATCTGTCAAAGACTTTTTATTCCATTAAACGGAATGATTTGTCCAAATGATTTATTTAAATTAACTCATGTATAGGTATAAATAAAATAATTATAATCATCGATCAATGACTTTTATAAAATCAGATGGAATGATTTGTCCACATCATTAGTATAAATTTATTATCTGAATTTGCAGGCTAATGCAATAAAATGCCTTTATGTTCATTATTATGGGACGTACTCAGGTACTTAAATAACAAAAGAAAGATTGTTCTGAGAAATAAGGACAGAAATAAATGAAAAACAAATTCATTTGCAAGGCGATTTAATGAATATTTATACAAAACAATGATAAAATATAACAATACCGATTCACCTTACTTTCCAAACAAAGAATTTACAGAATAATGCTTTCTGTCTTTGATATTTTCTGGCGGTTTTACGTCGTACACATACATCAGACTTAACAAGCATTACTGAAAGAGTAAAAACTCACGCCCCCCCCCCCCTCGTGAATTATTACAAGAGCGGGCACGTGAGAAGAATCACCGACTTTTCGAAAGTTTGCTAGGTAGCTTCATCATTATAACAAAGAATTCAAATTTTTTAAGAAAAAAAGTCAAAATCTACAGCGGTGACGGGCAAGTAATTTGAATTCAACGATCTTAACCACTTCATCAACGACGTGCTTTTTGTTCTTGGACCATCATTACTTATGATATATTTTATTGAATTATCAATAGCAAAAAAAAAAAAATCAGATATATATTTTATTCAAATGTAATATAGGAAGTTTGCAACGTACATTTGAATAAGGTCATTGCAAGCAACTTTTACAGGAGAAAAAAACTTTGCTGAAAAGTGATTGGTTGTTTAACCTGAATACTAATCAATCAATGCCTTTTCATGACGTTTAAATGTTTTTCGTATTGTTTGCCGATATCGAATATAATAAAGACGTTTTTTTTGTCAGTTCCATTTGCAAGCCTGTTATGATACATTGAGTGTCGATTTGATAAAGAATATTAATACTAGTCTTAATAATCAATCATATCATATCAAAATAATCGATTTCTTTTTTTTTAATACAATGTGGTCTTCATGAAATTTCTGAAAACAATGATATAGATAAGTACAGCAATCGTCAATATTTGGTTTGTTATATCGCAAGCATTTTGTTTTATACTTCATACTGTGTGTTATACTTTGTACGATTTTGATGCAATTCACTCGTTATCGATTTTCCTTTCATTTTATTCCTATCCTAATTATGTTTTTTTCTTGTGTTTTTTTCAGATTTACAATTATTTGAAGCTTTTGGAAAAAGTTCACTTTGCTGTAGGCATGGATTGTCCCGGATGCGAAATAAGGGTGACAGAAATAATTTAAATTAAAAAGATATTCTAGCTATACTGCTATCAGAAATCGTTTCTTTTCTCTTGCTTGATACAGCTTGATTGATACAGAAAAGAAAGAATTATTTAATCATAGGCTTATGCATCAAATTTTAGATCAAGGGTTTTGTCTATATCGTATAATGATACATATCATGTCAGCTAAGTATGATGTGTAATCCTATGCAATTCTCAAGGCAGTTATTATGGGTATCATTATCCAGCTATAGATATTAACTGTTTTTCAATGGAAATATTAATTCTAGAAATATAAAGGACTTTCAAGAATTAGCTTTTAGCTATAAACACCTTCTCTTGTATATATTATGTATTAGGTAAACTTAATTATATTGTTACGTCATTGCGTAAATATGTTATGTTATTATACTGTTTTTCCCAGTCAATTATAGTTTTCAATTTTGTTGAATCGTTCTTTATAAATTTAATAAATGACATAACCACAATTCAATTGTTGTTGTTGTGTCTTACCTTAATAATGCTTGTATTTTAATTCAATGTACTAGAGCTTAAAATGGCATCATTACAGGAGTCCCAATGGTTGTGTGTATAAATTCAGTAAACGTCGTGACATTCTGTATGTATTTGCGTTAAGCAACGTGCGTAACTGTACCACAAAATAAATATCCGAAATAGATTACTTGAGGCGATACTATGTAAACAGTGTTTTGAAATGTATTATTAATACAATTTTTTGTTCAGCTACACTTTAATATACTTAAACTAAGGTGCTGTTGACTTCTCGGCGTCCGCATATCGGCCTTAAAAGCGTACAAAAGTCGCAAAGTTTTTAAATTATCTTTAGGCACGTTTAAGACATCTTCACAGTTTGTGGCCGGATATATATATATATATAAGAACATACAAGATTCACAACATCAGTTTTAAGCAACTTAATTTTTGTCATCTTTGAAATCACAAAGTTAAATATAATTTGTGTTCAAAGGTTTCTGTCATATATGTACACCATGTTGTGACGTATTTTAGAATGTAAATACAATTTCTGGTAACACAATGTTAAAAGTAAACCAAAAAAAAAGTTCAACTGAAGATTATGCCACAACTGTAGAACGAAATACTTGTTTCGTATTGCGTTAAATTCAATATGTCCATATTGTAACTTCAAATGCTTACTCGATACTACAAGACGTTTAAATGACAATGGGTATTTCTTGTTTTAGATAACATTTTATCAAGCCACTTAGCTTGTGAAAATACATTTTTTTATATTTGAAGAAAGAAAAATAACACTAGTTACTTTCCATAAGATTTATACAAATCATACGGGTCCGAGAAAATACACTACTGGCTGAGACTGTTTGACATTTGCTACCGTTTAATCGTTACCATATAATTCATAATTAACTTTTATATATTAGGTTAAATAATGTAAAACAATTTAAACATATTACAGTCGTACTATTTATTATTCAGTTTAATTTAGAACAGACCATTTTGAACTTTTGTATGCAAAATGATCCACGGATTATAGTATCTATAAAAAGTATAACATTTATGCTTACACACATTTACTTTAGACTTTGCTAATCAGGGTACACTTTGAAAAACTCAGGATGGCGTAGCGCATGGCCTAAATTTTTTTGAAAAATGTCACAGACGCATTTAACTTCGTATTTGTCTTTTATTTTAGTTTAGTTGATGTGAGAACTTCACATCTATTTGGAACAGTATGATTATGTGACATTTTTTATAGAAAATAAAACTATTTACTTTCTTTAAAAGTATATTATAACCTATGAGTTAAGGCACGGCAAACAAATTATGAATACTTTACCATATATTGTAATGATTTAGACAACATCTTATTTATTGTACCTTTATTTGTAATATATTTCTTAGAAAATAATTTTCTTTTTAGCGGATAAGGTGAACAAAAATTGCGTCTCAGTTTTTAGTGAATTGATATGGTACGATTATTGAGACTACGAATAAACAACATGTAGTAAATAGTAAAATGTACTTAAATTCATAATTGATTTTTATTCTATAAACAACTTTTACTCCCTTAAAACGCGAGTAAAACAATTATGTCCTTATCAAAGTCGTCTCTTGTAAATATCCTTAACAGTAATAAGACCTAATAAATTTTTTACACTGAAAATGTAATTAATATAAAGTAAAACACAAGTAGGAGGAACATTGCATAGTATTTGTATATCGACAATTTATTTAAAAATCAAGATGTTTGTGCTAATGTATCGCCTAATGTCTGCATTACCTTGTCGCTATCGTATAATAAAGCATTCATCGAATTGGAAAATCAGTTCAATATGCACTAAAAATACAGAACCCCGAAGAACCAGAAAATGACGAAAGCCATACCTATCTCTCGGAAAGCATCGGATTAAGGAAAACTGAAACGTAAAACTTATTATTAAAAATTTAACAAATCTGATCTATTTATAACAAAACATGTCAGTTACATGCTATTCTAATTTAAATAAATTGGATGGGTGGAAAGGAAATACTAGAATGATATCTTTCGCTGCCAATGAAAAGCCTTGAATGGCATAAAACACGCTGAGTTGTGCTTTTATACACAGCACGAGAAAACGAGAATTTTTTCGCCAATATTCATACGCTGTATGAATATTCTAAACCTAAGCAGACGACAGTTTGCCGTCTTTGAAACGGAAATAATTATATTTACTCCCTTAAAACGCGAGTAAAACAATTATTTCCTTATCAAAGTCGTCTCTTGTAAATATCCTTAACAGTAATAAGACCTAATAAATTCTTTACACTGAAAATGTAATTAATATAAAGTAAAACACAAGTAGGAGGAACATTGCATAGTATTTGTATATCGACAATTTATTTAAAAATCAAGATGTTTGTGCTAATGTATCGCCTAATGTCTGCATTACCTTGTCGCTATCGTATAATAAAGCATTCATCGAATTGGAAAATCAGTTCAATATGCACTAAAAATACAGAACCCCGAAGAACCAGAAAATGACGAAAGCCATACCTATCTCTCGGAAAGCATCGGATTAAGGAAAACTGAAACGAAAAACTTATTATTAAAAATTTAACAAATCTAATCTATTTATAACAAAACATGTCAGTTACATGCTATTCTAATTTAAATAAATTGGATGGGTGGAAAGGAAATACTAGAATGATATCTTTCGCTGCCAATGAAAAGCCTTGAATGGCATAAAACACGCTGAGTTGTGCTTTTATACACAGCACGAGAAAACGAGAATTTTTTCGCCAATATTCATACGCTGTATGAATATTCTAAACCTAAGCAGACGACAGTTTGCCGTCTTTGAAACGGAAATAATTATATTTACTCCCTTAAAACGCGAGTAAAATAATTATTTTCTTATCAAAGTCGTCAAACTGTAAATATAGTTAACAGTGATAAGACCTTATAAATTCTTTTCACTTAATATATAATTAATATAAAACAAAAAACAAGTAGAAATATCGAAACAAAAAATAAAGAACTAAATGATAAATATTTTGAAAATTCGTTAGAAATAAAATTTGAAAACACTTATGGAAACAGCTGCGAATAATAACAGGCAGGCATTCGCGTAAATTACAATAAAATCCCAGTGTATCATGTATACCTAATTTTGCAAACCTGGAAAATCTAATTCTGCAGCATAGATATGATTAAATAGTACGTTTCTCTCGATAAGAGCAAAAAGCGTATGCATTTAGTCCATTGTGAATCAAAATATCATAATATCCGTTAAATTCGCGGCAAATTGATTGCCTTAAAAACGCAGCCTACGGCCGCCAAAGAATTCAACAGCCTACGGCCGCCATAAATTAATTCCACAGAAATATAACAGCCTATGGCCGACAGAAGTATGGCAGCCTACGGCCGCTAGAAAATTACAGCCTACGACCGCCAAATTATAACTGCAATCCAATTCCATAACCGTCATCGAGTTCGCCACTTATCAACAGACCTAAACGAATGTAAACTTTACTGTGTTTGATCGAAGCCAAGAGACGTTAAATTCAATTTAGGTGTATGCAGGAATAAGAAAAAGGTTTATCTATATTTTTTAATCCATATGAGTAGGAACTTTTGTCAAAATAAATCTGTCTGAAAATGAATTCGTTTGAATCTGGTTGAATATAAGCTTAACTTAATTAATGTTCTGATAATCTTACAAGCAAGTTCCGGTTCGAGCAATGCATACAGTATTTCCATCACTCAGAACAACCTTTTTGTTTTCTTCTACATAAATTTCACAGTAACAATCACAAATAGAAAAACAGCATCTCCTTATATTCACTTATACGAAAAAATCCTGCAAAAGATAATACAAACATACAACAGTTTCTCAAATCTCCTGAAGAACTGTCCTCAAAAGCATGTTTATTAAAAAAAATCTTGAGAATATCTACTGTGAAAGGCTTTTTTTTACTACTTGGTTTAGAAATCTTTCTTATAAAACCATGAAGGCACAATTTGAACCAATCATTGCTACATGGAATAACACAATATGAAACAATATGAGCCCAATTAATAGCATACAAATCAGATTTAGCTTAGAACGACTGCAAATCGGTGATTTTCTAACTAAATATAAATCAGCCGGCACATGAGAAGCCGGTAAAATTCAAACTGAAAAACCTTACACCATTTACTAAATGTTTGAAAGCCAAAACATAGTTCTTGTTTATTGATTTCTTTTCCTCGTAAACACACTTCTTTAAGCTCTGAGAACTGTCCAAGAGAAGATAACTCTGCTTGCTCTTTAGCCTCTTTGCCAAACTTTAGTTTTAAACATTGCTGTAAACGGTAACATATATTTAAATAATTAAACGATCTTTATCTTTTCAAATATAGAACACTTTTCAAAATCAAAATAGAAAATCAAATCAAAATGCAATCTATAAAATTCTGAATATAGAAAAAACTCTTAAGAGTGAATAAAATATTATTTTCTCACGATGTAACTAGGGATTCTCAAAAGTATGTTTAAACAGAAAATTTACCCACCAAAATAAGAACAAATGTTTTTACATACATTTTTTTTAACA